CCGGTCTTACATCCCGTCGCTGCGTGTTGCGCACGCATACCGAGAAGGACTTTGCGTCGTAAATCGTGTGCGTCGTATACGTGTGCACGAAGACGAGTAGCCGTAGCGGATGCCGAAGATGTATAAATATATGCACCGCCAGTGGTGTATACGATGTGCAGCTTACATATATTTAATACGTGCGTATAATGTGTATGTATGTGTGTGTGTGTGTGTGTGTGTGTGCGCGCATGTACATAATACGTACGTGTATACTCCGAGTGCGGTCTGCTGGTGAAGAGGGGTGCACGCGTATTATATACATATATGTGTACATGCACACGAGGAGGCGGTTAAGTCTCGGCGGGGGAAAAAAAACGGTTAGACCTGTATCGATATACACGCGCACACGAAACGCAACGCGTACACGTGATATCGTTAAAAAATAACACGATTAATTTTTTTTGTATCATTTCGTGTTCGTGCTTTTTTTTCTCTCCTTTTTATATACGACTTCCAGATTGTAAAATTCATTAAGTCCATTACCGAGCGCGTTTTTGTTTTAATTATTTCGCTTTCCGAGTTGTTAAAGCGCGTTCTTTGTGTGAAAAAGGGGAGCGAAAGGCCGGGTGGTGGAACCTAGTGTAAAGTTGAAAGTAATTGGGCGACGCCCGGAGCTTTAGACGTCTTCGCTTTTTCTTCCTCCCTTATTCGCTGTCTCTCATTTTTTTTCTCTTTCCCCTTTCCTTCTCTTTTCTCTACAGCGATGTCGTGAAAAGAGAGAGGGTCGAATTCAATATACAAGCGCCGCGCGTATAAATATATATATACACAATATACGGCAGCGACGACGATGACGACAGCGGTGGTGGTGGCTGGAAGGGAGTGGTGTTCATGCTCACAACCCCTCCGGTGCAATAAAGTTCTTGTGTTCATATCTTGAAAGTTCTCTCCGGAATGGAAGTGTGTATACTCGCTTTCTCATAATTTATCTAATAAACGACTTTTCGGACGAAGAAAATCAGGGAGTGCGAAAAAAAACGGATAGCGCGCGCGCCAAACGCAAATCGATCCAATCCATTATCCCCTGTGTATACCGGATACACACACACACTGACACAAATACATATAAATATGTATGTATGTATACGTGAATACACACGTTGCGGAAATTAAAACAAAAGTTTGACACTAACGGAAATTTATCGGCCGTAACGAGATTGGCAAACGCAATTATCGTCGTACGACCAAAGCTACTATAATGTATATGTATAAACCACTGCCGCAGTCACCAGTTGCCCGGATAAAGAAGTGGGGTGGGTTAGTATCATGTGCACGAGTTAAACGTACGTTTATATATGTGAGCGCGTCGAGTTATAGTTCATAGACGGTAAGTTGATGATTTTTTTTTTTTTTTTAAATTCGCTTTGACAATCCTATTACACGGAGTTGAAAACCCTGGGGTCCGATTTATATACATCGTCTGTACGTACGCATACGGGTTTCGAATGACATAGAAGCTAGCCGTAGCGTGTGCTACTCTACAGCACTCAGCGGCAACGACGACGGTGGAGCTATTGATTGGTCGCATGAGAGACGGTTAACGTGGGGGAGAGTTGCTCAGCGGAGTTTGAAGAAGAGGGAATAAAGGTTTCGCGGGCGTCAGTTTATGATATAATGACGCGAAGGGTGCCACTTTACCCGCGGGTCATTATAATGAAGGGGTCTCTCCGACTTCGACCGACGTTGACGACGACGACGACAACGACGAGTGAGTTGGCCCCGCCGCGCCGTTTCGAACATTACACGTGTCTCCGGATGATCCCGTGGGGTGCGATCGTACGGCTTTATTTAACACGTCACGAGCAAACCTTATACATATATATATATATATATATATATATATATATATATATATATATACTTCTACATACGCGGATGCATTGCGTACACATAATACGTGTATATCAAGGGAAGTGTATATGTACAAGGGTCGTTGACGGCAGCGGTGATAATGACGTGCGTGTTTGTTGTTTTATTATATTATTTCTTTTACCCCCTACATCCACCGGCCGACTGAAAATCATTGCAATAAAAAAATAATAAGAGACCGCCGTTGCCGCCGTCATGTGTGCGTGTGCGCGATAAAACCCTTCTTACACGGCTGCCGGAACCCGCCGATTTATTTCCCTGCCGATCAATTACTTGCGTACCATCATCGAAGTGCATCCCTGCAGCACGAGTCCGGGTGAGATGTATGTACCGCGCGCGCGCTCGACGAACTCACGCACATGTTCACGGGGTTCGCGCAACGATATCGAGTGTCAACATTCCAATCGCGTACGCTTTTTACGCGCTGCGATGGGCGCGGGCGCGTGTGCGCTTTTTCAGCCTTTATCCGTCGACATTAAAAGGTTGTACGATCTATTCGTGAGGGACGTGCGCGCAACGCCATCGTCGCGCTGCGCGTACAATGCACACAATTAGCCGGTTACGCATTGTTTGCCGTTTCGTCGCATATTTGCTTAGCCGATAACTGTACTATTATGTGTGTTGTACCGCGGCAGAAGTGTGTTCCGTAATTTGCGCTGCGCAAACGAGTAGACGCGATATTATTTTTTCGTATAAATAATATACTTACGTGTATACAATATTACGATGTACACGTTCTGTATACACATACAAGTACGTTGTACACCGAAGACAAGTGAAAAAATAAAAAATAAATAAAGACAATCGATAACAACGCGATTTATGTGCGCGCGTGTTTTTTTCTCTCTCTCTCTCTCTCTCTTTCTCTCTCTCACTCTCTCTCTCTCTCTCTCTCTTACTTTTCCAATATAATTATACACATATGCGCGCGTACATCAGTACAATAATAATATGTAATTCGAATGGTCTTCGGTGCGCGATTTCTTTTCGAATTTACGTAATGCCATATGTAGTATCATTGCTATTACGCACGCGCGCACACACACACCATAACTCGTTTTATACGCTCGAAGTGTACGTTATAAAATGTAATAAAACTATGATTTCAGTCTTCGTCGTCGTAGTCATTCCGCCACGACGGGCCGCCGCCGCTGCCGACGATATTATTATTATTATGATAATAACATTATCGCTGTACCGTGAAGCAATGAAAAAATACGAAAAATTAAACACGGTCCAAGGCTCCTATATTAAATGGGAGTATTGTCATCAATTTCATAATAAGCCCGTGGTGGGCGGCGAAACAGAAAAAAATAAATAAATAAAAAACAATAATGATAAAAACCGCAACGGCCGAGGGCGTACGAAGGGAATAAGTATTTATACGTACATTGTTTTTAATCGAACGAGAAAGGACCGTGTAAAAATATATATCTCTTCGTGTCGGGCACGTATCGACTGCGAGCTACGGATAAACGCGTTGGCGGCCGCGACTGTCCGGGTCGTGAACACGCGCGCGTGTTTGGCGTTTATAATATTTACGTGTGTACGTATATTATATTCGTATATTATACGTTTTATTATTTGGAAATTTATATTATTTGAAACAAAACACGGTTTGTCACACTCCACGCGACAGCGGCAGTGCGATGTCCTATAGATGGAAGATAATCCAATTGTGTGTGCTGGGGGGAAAGAAAAAAAAAAAGGTTGAAATGCTCGATCGGGGGAAAAAACCAGGTAAAAGTTTTTTTTTGTTATTTTTTGCTCTACTACTACTATTACTACTACTACTACCACTACTACCTACTACTACAACAGTACCGCCCTACCCCCCCGATGAACAGTCGTCGACGCCACTGGCTCGGTCGCAGTGGACGGACACAGTGGGAAAGAGCGAGTGAGCGAGTGAGATACGTGAAAAGAGTGAGACGGATCCGAACGCGAGAGAGAACGAGAGAAAAAAAAAACATTTTCCTTTTAAATTTTTAATATTCCCCGGGATCGGCGTTTGCGATGGGCTCCACGTGGAGCCGGCCGGTTGCTACGTGACAACGGTGCGGTAGACGGTCACCGGTTGGCTGGTGGTGCGCTGCGATTGGTCGGCCGCTCATTGCGAACCGACCGCCTGGCGGCTGCGCATTGGCCGCCGCGGCTGTGGGCTCCACGTGGAGCCGCGGCTGGCGAACGTGAAAAAAACCGTACGGGTCCGCTTGCGTGTTGGGGTTTTGCTCGGGGCTCGGGGGCCGGCGGAGCGATACTGGTAATCAGAAGGGACCAAACAGCCGATGCGGTCTGGCCGCGCGGGGTATCGGGTAGTGGCCGACGGGGATGGTGTGGAGGGATGGCTCGAATGCGGCTGCCATATTTGTGCAAACTACCGGAGAGCTTTGCGCGCGCGAGAGAGGGGAACGATGAAATCAGTGGAGTGACGGTGACGATGCGGCGGCGGCGACGGGGCAGTGCTGGTGGCTCACGGCTGGACTGGGTGTGCTGCGGGGGGGAACTTTTCAAACCCTTCTGATCCGCCGGGTGGGTGGCGGGCGACGCGCTAAGGGGAGGAATGGTGAGAAGGGTGAGAGCGAGAGGTGGTGTTGTGTGCGCGCGTGTACGAGCCGCAGCGAGGAAGAGGGGCGAAACGGAGAGAGATAGATTGAGAGAGAATGCGGGAGAGAGAGAGAGAAAAAAAAGAGAGAATAAAATTGAAGAGACCTTTTGTGTTATTGGAAAAAGAAGCAAGAGGGTTTTCGCTCTAGTGTAAAGAGTGGGCGGCCATTTTGTGAAAAGGTCTTTTTTCAATGTTCCCCGGTCCCTCTGTACACACACACACACACACGCACACGCGTTCACGTACACACACGCACACGTCGTGTGTACACGTCTTCCACGGGTTTTAGGTTAGATTTTTTCTGGACCCCTGCGCGACCCGCTACCGCACCGCTGCCATCACTACCCCGCCACCCGTACTGCCCGCACCGTCTACCGACGCCGACGTACCGCACCGCATCGCCGGGCCGATCGTTTTGTTTACTGCCGGCCGCTGCGGGGAGCGGAGAGAACCATCAGCCTTGTGTGCGCGTACGCGGGAGCGCGCGGGGTGATGAGGCGGCGGGGCGTCCGTGTTCACACACCGGCTCAGTCGACGGCTCCTCTTCAGTGCTCCGTTGGTCTTCGTGTTGTGCGTTTGCCCGTCCGTACACTTTGCGCGTCGCACGAACCGCGTCTCGCGCAAACATTTTCCCCATTAATATTTTACACTCTCGTATTGTTTATTCCGAGTGCGTGTGCGTGTCCGGGCTGCACTCTCTCTATCTCACCGACGGATTACTAATCGTGTGCGTCGTGGCGTTCCCGTCCAGTGCCGTTCGATTTCATTCGTCGTTCCTCGGTCCCAGCAGTGTGTCTCCGAGCGTGCTTCGGTTCGTCCGGTCATACGTAATTGTTGTCTGTTCCGTCGTGTGCCGTCCGCACCGCGTGTCGACTTCTTATCGAGTATCGCCCGATAATCTGTGAAGAAACCGTTTGTAAAATTTACGCGTGTCTGTGTCTGTGTGTGTGTGTGTGTGTGTGGTGCGAATTGCCGTTCGATCCCGCCTGCCGCCGATCAAACCGAGTGACATTTGATTTTGCGGCCATGAGCTGCTAACACGTCATGTACGCCGCAGCCACGATGAACGCAGCAGCTGTAGCGGCCGCTGCCCGGCACCCGGTAAGTGGTTTTCTTCTATACACGATGTGTCGTTACACCACGTTAGCTGTTGTGCTAAGTGTATGAAAAAAAAATGTAACGGTTTTCGTTTCTCGCGCGTACCATTTACCATCAGTTTACGTTTGTTATGCAATTGTGTGTATTATTACGGAATAGGTACCTTCACAGGTTTAAGAATGACGTGCGTTTTTCGTGATATGTGCGAATTGTGTTCACGCGAAAAACGATCGAATCGCCGGTTTACCTTTGAACCGTTGGCACATTTCCACGACTATTTAGATAACGACGCAGTACGTGTGCACGCGCGCACGTGTCGACTCGGTAGTTGCCGTACGTCTACGACGACGTACAGCAGAACGATGTACGGATTCATTGTACGCAACGATGAAATTCCCAACCGTCGCTAAAATGTTGAGCACCACTGAGCCGGCGGACCGCCCGCTAACCCTCGGGACCCCACACCGGTTTCTCATGCGAACCCGTCGCGCGCACAATGGGCACCCCCCGGAGGTGCGCATAGGTTGAATTTGTAATAAAAACGTGTACTACTACGGGACGGGGCGGTGCGGTACAACAATAATGACACGTTCTCCTCCGGTCCGTGCGCGCGTGAATAACGACGATAATAAGTACAAAATAAAACCAAGGCCCACGAGGGAAGTAATCGAAAATTCCGAACGGTTCGAACGAGAGACTCTTCGTTCGTCGCTGTCTCGGCGCGTTTTAAATAAATGTTCAATGGTACTCGACGGCGACGACGGCGATGGGAACGTTGGGCGGCCGGGGTACGCTCTCGTCGCGTAATCTTTGTATGTGCGCGCGCCGAGTGCGTTTCGAGTTGTTGCTCTCGGGGTCCCGCCGCCGCTAATTATAGTCGTGACAAGTCACGCGACGAGTGCGCGCGTCTTCTGTAATAACTCGCGGGACCACCGCCGCGCCGCGCGTTAAATAGTAGTCGGTCCCAGGAGGAAACGCCGGTCGTCGTGAAACGTGCGTTCACGGGTACGCGATCGGTATTACCACCGCATTAACGTGCGCGATCGACAAGACCGAGCGGATTATTACTGTTATCGGTTGTCGAAATTCGCGTCCGGATTCCCGAGTGAACGCGGCGGCGAGAGATCGGCTTGCGCGTTCGACCGTAAAACAATGGAACGGCGAGTAGTGTTCCGCGTGCGTGCGCGTACGGTAGTCGCTGCGTATGGAGATAATATCGACAAGCGTATCCCTCCCTCCCTCTCTCTCGCTCTCTCTCACTCTCACTCACTCGCTCACTCACTCCGCGCGCGCTCTTCACTCCCGTCTTCGTATCGAACACACGCGTACGTACAGGATACGCGACGCCGCGCACAACAGGCGCGGCCCGTTCGTTAACAACGAACGTGGCGGCCGCTCGACCGCGCGATTATTAATCCGGTCCGAACAAGATTCGCGGCGGCCGACGCGTCGTCATCATCCGTCGTCGTCGTGGTAATAGCCTTCGGCCGGGGAGGGGGCGCACGCGTGAAATGACCCACAAAAGGTAGTTCCACCCACGGGTGCGATCGCGCGCATATTCCGAAGTTAACCGCGGTGACGACCGCTAAGCGAGCGTCAACCGCCGCCAGCGTCGTCACCGTCCGCCTTGTTCGTATTGTCTTCAATTTCTCGCTCGGTGAAAGCTGTAACGACGACGACGACGACGACGACAGGTACGATGGGGCCTCATGCTCAGTCCGCGTATACAATCATACAACAACGCGGCGTGGTCTGTACTACACGTTCTCACGAAATATTTAAAAAAAAAATGAAAAGAAGTTACCGATGCCAATCTCGTTGACAACACGTATAACACGCACACACGCGCGCTAGACCACGTTGAATGACAAATTACGTTGATTATAAAATTCAATTTTAACGTGTGTGTGTGCGCGCTTCTAAAACCAACGCTGCCGATATGTGGTGGGGCTTGGTCGAGTGGTGGGTAAAGGAAGGGAAACCACGTTTATTATTTCCACGCGGCGGCGGCGGCGGTTACGGATGGTGAACTTTAGGCTAATTATACCGTGGATCCGTCGTCGGTTGCCGTTTCGATCCATTGGCCTCGAACACCGTGACAATGTTGCGTCCGTTCCCATTTATTTATATTTTTTTATATTTTTCTCCTTAAATTCATTATCGAAATTAATGATTGTCCTCCGTCCGCCGTCAGCGCACACCGCGCACCGTGTAAACGTCGTCTTATACGTAAACATTTCTTCTCACGGTGTAATTTATATCGAGCGGGGGTGCGGGTAGAAGAAGGTTTTTTTTTTTAACCGAGGATACCGCTGTCACGGTTCCGGAACACTGGCGAAAAAAAAAATGTGAAACTAGAAAAAAAAATAATAAATACCCGGAAAGGAGTACAATAAACCCATACCGGTACAGTATTCTACCGGTGGTGCAGCAGCGGCGGTTGTGTCTCGACGACGCGTCACGATACTGCTGAATAGACTTACCGCGTTTCGGTAACCTCAACGAGTGTACAACACTGCAGTACCATTCATGGCATGCGTATACACGATGGATGTATTATAATGTGACCGATTCGTGTGTCAAATCGCGCGAACCGAGTTTCGGTCACACGACGCGACGGCGGCGGATCAAATCAATCGTAAATCCTCCCGCGCGCACGCACACAAACACGTGCAAAAACACACGCACGCACGCATCGAAACCCACCCGCCCACCCTTGCCGACCCGGGCAATCGACCTGTGTGAGTGGCACACAGCACCACCAACAATCATCATGCTCCCGCCGCCGCGACCATTTTACCACAAACCTTCGACGACCACCGCCTTGGTGCATAATATGCGCATTACGGCATCTCGCTCGCTCGGTCGCGCGGTACACAATGACGACGATACGTACGGCATACGGCTCGTGTAAGGTACGCACGTACGTTGTTATTGCTTGTACACGTTATAACGCACGCACTCCGTACACGGCCGGTAAGGTGGAGGAGGTGGAGTGGGCGCTGGGGGGCTCTCGTGCAGCGGTCTTTAACGCCCCCTCCGCCTCCGGGTGTTGTGCACTACCCATCACCTGCGGTGCCGTCACGCATCGGTGTTGTTCGTCACGCGAACGGCTCGGAATTTTTACATGTACACAAGAAATTACGTACCGCAGATAATATCTGTCCGGGATATCTCCAATTATTATTACGTTGTTATTATTGTATTACGATTACTATTACCACTTTTTTACCCGTCGCCGCACGCCGAAATGTTGTTATTCGAACGTGTCGTCGTCGGAGACCACACACTCGCGCGCGTGCATAGTAGTACCGTATACCGTGTACTCGGTATCGGCGGTGACCGATTAATCGTTCGGCGTGGTCGTGTTAACAGCGCTGCACACATACAACCGGTGGTCAGACGGTCAATCCGAGTTTTTACTTTTTACGGGTTCTGTGGAAATGTATGTCAACGTATGTCAACGTGTGTTATCGCGGGCCCGAACGTGTTCGTAAAGTAACGGTGTCGAATCGTTTTTCCCGTCGCGGCTAACGTGCGATTGTGCGACGGTTGTGAAGATATAACCGGGGGTCGTGTCTGTAGTTTATTTGTGTGCTGGAAAAAAAAACCCGAATAAAAAGGATATTACATTACGGATCCATTGGTTGCCGGGGTGCCTTTTTTTTTTGTTTTTTTTTTTTTTTGTTGTGTAAACGTGCGGAACGAATACACTGGCGTGTAATGTAAGCGAAAGAATAATCTGTTGTATACGATCTTTGAAAAATAGAACCCTTATAATAGCGTGCGGGCCATAAGGTTGTGTATAGTCTTCAAAGAAGTCGTTGCTGCTCCCTCGCAGCCTCTATACTATACCTACCCACTGTATAATACCCTCGCATTGACTGCTCGGAAAAAAGTCCCACCTGCCCGACTCCACGTGAAAATAATAATCTCTGAAAGGATGTCCGGATTAATCATTTTATATACATGTATTATACGTATATGTATAATTATTTTTTTTCTTTCCAAAGGTATATCATTAAGTCACTCCCCTTGTTATTATCCTATCGGTCTTTATAATTACAAGGTGCACACCACACACACGCACTAGTCGATTTTAGCTTCAGGTCTGCATAACGGGCCCTTGTTTTTTAATGACTGTTATGTACAGTAAACGTATGTGTCGGACTCGTGTTTCACGCTATCAGATATCGAAAGGTATCCCGGTAATAGGCAACTAAATCTACACGGGCGCGTTTTAAACGTGATAAAAATGATATTTATACACAGACACGTACACACATATACTCGTATATATATATAATATATATATACATATATATATATATATATACATATTAGTGTGCGCATATACTCCTATGTGTATTTTTTTTTCATGTGCGCGAGCGATTAAAAAAGGTAAAAAAAAAACGAGGAAATTTTACAGGTGTGCCCGCAGACATAAACTGCCAACGAAACCGGTCTGAAGTAGTAATAACCGCGATGGTAATAATTATTGAGAGGTATACGAAATAAAAAACGCCGGTCGTCGGCCTTCGGGCCAGCAGCTACTGTGCGCGCGCGAAGTCTTTATGTACCGGTAAAGAATATGGAATGAAAAACAGAACTCGTCCGTATACCCGTTCCCCCCGTGGGCCCGCCGCCATCGCCGACAATATATATGTCTTGCACATATTCGGAGAGAAACTCTCTCGGTCGATTGCTTCTTCCTCTTCGTTCGACGATGAGGACGCATGCGCGCACGCACACATCAATAAACATTTTATATTTAATAAACGTAAATGTCGGTGTATATGTGCAAAACACATATACCTACGTTTATGTACACGAATAAGTACATACACACGAAGACGGTTAATTTTTTTTCACACAAGAATTTCTAATCGTAAGTTATTCCGGGATCGAGCATAATAAATGCACTGGCCGTGTTTTCTGTTTTTCATTTTCGATACAATACCATTTCACACGTGTACGTATAGGAAAACCGATTTTTTCTCGCA